ACCAATTCTAGAAATGAAGAAAAAGGGTACCCGGAAGTTCTTCTGCGTTGCTCTTCAAAGTTCCCGTACGTAGTGTTCTTCCTTCCTTCTCTTCTCTTTCAGAAATAGGTTGCAGGTGAGATCGTGGTAGAGAACGTGGTAGTCCCTTTCTCTTCTCCTCTTCAATTGAAAAAATTGTGTCTTTTTAAGTCTATCCCAAGATCCACTTTGCACTTTAAACCAAACAATTCTAAAATTGTTAATTAACCCCGGAGGACCTTTTTGCAATTTTCATTTTTTTATGCTTTGTGATCACGCTTAAGGACTTCTTGCGTTCTGCTTTTCTCTCCAATATGCCCAAAATTTGTCAATTCCTCAACACCTAGTAGAAAGTTCAAAAATGCACCATTAGGAGCATATATACAAAATTTGCATCCAAAAACCGTCTAAAATATAGCAAAATATTTGTCTAATATCGCATATATTAGATTAACAGTCTCAATCTTATGGTGCCAAGTGCTCTTTGCCCCTCTTGATTGTATCCATGTATTGTCATACGACTCTCGAACAATTGATCTACTGGTATTCCCAATTTTTGCAATGTGTATAGAGGAAGGACGTTGACTGCGGCTCCTCCATCTAAGAATATCCGGCTAATCCTTTGCTCATGGATATAACCCACGACCAGTAATGGACGATTATGGGGTTTGGATCCTAACATCAAATCTTCATCAGTGAAAGTTATCGTGGCACATTCTTCACTTGATTTGTCTCTGATCGCCTTGCCATCTTTCTCGGTGGTGAGGCAATATGATTCTTCGTCTTTTATGTCAACTTCGAGAGACCCGAACATAATTGAAGTGACATTAACAGCAACAGAATCGTCTTCAAGGGTGATCTTTCCTTCATAAGCCAACTCCATGACTTTGTCTTTAAAGACGAAACAGTTATGGATGGGATGTCCTACGACACGATGGTATTTTTGCAGTATCTTGGGTCATCAACCTTTCCAGCTTCCTCCGGTCTTTTTGAATTCAGAAGTTCAATGAGGTTTTCTCTGAGTAGATCTTCAAAGATGCCCGAGACGTCAGAATCCAATAAAGGATAAGTTTTGAACTGCAACTCTTTAAGGGTTGGCCTTGGAGGTCTGTCTGTCTGAGTTAACTGTCTTTTCTTTGCAACTTCTTTTTCTTTATTTTGGATCTTCACTGGTGCTTTGGTCGTCGCTTTTATGGCCAAGGCTTCTTTTCCGAAATACTTGATAGGGGCGTTATTCCCCTTCTTTGCGACATCATATCTTTCATATCTTTTTGCTTTTGAAGATTCTTGAACTGGTGGTCCGTGCATCCCACTTGAAGCCATACTTAACTCCATGTCATGAGCGCGGGTAGCAAGTTCTTCGAAAGTGCGGGGTCGGATCCCTTGTAGGATGTATTTCAACCCCCAGTGCATTCCTTGGACGCACATCTCTATACCGGAGGCCTCAGACAACCGGTCTTTGCAGTTCAAGCTCAGACTCCTCTAGCGGTTGATGTAGTCGATTGCTGGTTCATCTTTCCATTGACGAGTATTGGTAAGTTCTGTCATTCTGAAGGTTCTTTTCGTGCTGTAGAACCGATTCAAGAACTCGTACTCCAACTGCTCCCAACTGTCAATGAAACCAGCCTCCAGATCGATGTACCAATCGAAGGCGTTGCCTTTTAATGACCGTAGGAACTGCTTCACCAAGAGATCGCCGTATGTCCCAGCATTGTTGCATATTTCCATTAAGTGTGCCACATGATGCATTGGGTTACCTTTGTCATCAAATTGTTGGAACTTCGGCAGTTGATATCCCAACGGCATCTTGAGGGTGTCGATCCTTGAAGTGTAAGGCTTGGCATAAATATTTGTTGGCCTTGAACTTCCCTCAAGCTCCCTTTTGAAAGCTCATTTGATATACTCGTCAAGTTGGGATAGATGGATGAAGGAGTTGGATGATGTTTGAAACGGCATTGGTCCCGTCATTTTTCCTTTACCATGGCGTTGATCCGTGGATGCGTCCGCTTCATCTTGGGCTTCTGGAGCATTATGACTGGTTGATTCTGGCTTGTCTAGTTTTGCAAGCAGCTTTGCGATGACATTGTCTTGTTACTGCATGTGTTGAAACATCCCTTCAACGACTTTGGCCAGTGCAACGAGTTGGTCTTCTATGTTTGAAGCGTTTGTGGTCATCACCGGGGCATAACTTGATGCAGTCAAACGAGTTGCAACTTCTTGGGGCGTGACCGGTGCGGAGGTACTCTTGAAGCTTTCATCCTCCTCATAGATTGAGTTTTGCTCTATGATTTTCGGATGTGCGTCCTCGGAAGATGACAGTGCTTTTTTAGCCATGTTTCGTGTCATCACTCCAGCATTTGTTGAAGCACTGAGGTTCTTGATGTAGTAGCAGCGACTCCTTTGGCGGCGGCTAGAGCAGCAGCTGTCGACACAGCGTTGGAAGTCTTGATCTTGTAGGAAGCCATTGGCCGTTGAGAATTCGACGGGAAGAGAGATGAAAGGTAAAGTTGTCCCACTGGGCGTGCCAAAAATCTATAGACAAAAAAAAAATTGTTATATTTTTATAAACACAAAATCGTACAAATTACATTTTATTTAAATATATGCGGGTCCCCTATTCTCTATTCGGATCCTTTGATTCTCTTCCCGGATCGATCTATTTTTTTCAACTTAGATTTGGGTGGCTTCTTTGATCCGAAGGAATTTTGGTCTTCGGTTTGGCTTTTCCGGCTTTTGGAGAGCTTCGGTCTCCATGTGGGCGAATCGGCTTTTGAATTTATGTCTCATTTGGATCATCCGACAGAATTTGATCTTTTGGGGGGGTAGATTTGGTGCTCCATAACGCTTTTGGCGGCGTATCCCTTTGACTTTTGGATCGAAGAGGGCCGAGTTTGCGCCTTTGATGAAGAACGCGAGGAGCATCTTGAAGCTTTGGGAGCGACTTTGGAGGCCCTTCCTTAGCTTTGATGGATTCCTCGATGGCTTTGGGAGCTTTGATCCTTCATCCGGCTCGGACATACGACGAAGAACGTTAACTCCATCGATTCGTCAACCAATATTGGATTATTTGTCCAAATCAGTGAATTTTCGACGAAGAACGCCTCGAAGGACACGAAGAACAATGAAGAACATTGCAGAGAATCTAGAGAGATTTACCCTTGTGCGAGTCTTCAAATGAACTTCGTGTTTAATGAATTGGCCAAGGCTCCTATTTATAGGGGTGGGTGGCCTTGGCTTCCTTTTCAGATTGTGCCACGTGGATGGAAAGATTTTATAATCTTTCCTTTTCCATCAGATGTTGTTTTCCATTCTTGACGGATTTGATTGTGCACCTTCCTTTCTCGTCAAAATCTTTATATCATTGTCTTTTTTTTGGAAGATATTAATTTATATACTTCATTTATTGACAAGATCTTTATATCATTGCCTTTTTTTAGAAGATATTAATTTATATACTTCATTTATTGACAAGATCTTTATATCATTGCCTTTTTTGGAAGATATTAATTTATATACTTCCTTTATTGACAAGATTAATTTATTTTGCTGCCAAATTTATTATTGTTCTATTTATGCACGTAATATTTGTACGATATCTTCCATTATAAGCATATTTTTGCATTAATGGTTGGTATTTATTGTACAAAAATTAACATATGTGCATAATTAAATATCATATATTTATATTATTGGAATTTTATTTTCTTCCAAAATACATGATATTTAATTTAATTTAGACATTTAATTTTTAATGCCTACAGATACCAATACCGTACCGAACTTTTCGGTATGACGAAAATACATACCGGTACCGTACCGAAAATTTCAATATACCGTATTTCGGCATACCAAAATTTTCGGTACGGTACCAGTATATACCGTTTATACCAAAAATTTCAATTTCGATACGATACCAGTATATACCGCTTATACCGAAAATTTTGATTTCGGTAGATACCGGTATATACCGATTATACTGAAAATATAATTTTAAATTTCCAAATAATTAAAAAAGTTAATAAATATAACAATTCTCCACCACAAAAATATTATGAAAAAATAAATAAATTTTCAATAGTTTATATATTTTTTGTTATGATTTTTTTAAAAAAAAATAATTATTATTATTTATATTAATAATTAAATTATTTAATAAAAATAATATTGGTACGGTATCATACCGAAATACCAAACTCTTCGAAAATTCATACCGATACCGTACCGAAAACTTCGGTACGATATCCATACCGTACCGAAATTTTTTATATTTTCGACACGATAGATAAGTCGGTATTTCGGTATATTCGGTAAATTTCTCCTATCCCTACGTCGGACGGAATGAGTAATTAACGGTAGCAAACAATGTGATGCTTTGTGATGATCTTACTATAATAACCAAATTGCTTATAAACAACTATCAAATAGGAACAATATGAAATATATATATATATATATAATAGAGTATGTGCAATTCAAACAAGACTCAAAAGCATTATAAAAGCAAGGTCTCTTCCTAGCAACTGTTGACAAACTAGAAAATAAACACAAATGAACATTTCAGTCAAGAGACAAGTGTCTTTAATTTAGAGAAGTATATACATTTTAATTAGTACAATTATCACCAAATAATTATGCAACGGATTTGAGATGTTTATCAGCACAATTATCACAATTATCGGCGGAGATTTATCCAGTACGTACTTTCGAGTAGTGACTGCGGGTTTCCACGTCATCCAAAAAAATATATATATAACTTAAACATGTATTTACAAACTCGGTTCAACGGAACGTAGCCCGCATGGATACTAGTATATATATGTATAAGTTGTTAATAAATTCACGAGCATCTATTTATATATGTAAAATATAAAGAAGTTTTCAAAAACTCCTATTTAAACAAAATTAAGTTTAAAAAAAAAAAAAAAAAAAAAAAAAAAACAAAAAAAAAACAAAAAAACAAAAAAAAAAAATTGGATCCAGACTCTAATAAATCATAACACAAGCAAATGTCCTTATTCAAATTCAAATTTAAGAAAAAAGAAAAAGAAATTTGAAAATATTACAACAACAACAACAAATATTACACCTTGTTAGGGACAATTCTAAGAGGGATCGCCTTCTGCAAAGTGAGCCCAAACTTCTCTTCCATGCCAACTTCCATAATTCCTTCCTCTAATTTCCATTCATAATCCTTCACCAAACTCGCAAGCATCATGTGAATCATTCGATGCGCCAGCGGCATCCCGACGCAAATCCGCCGTCCGCCGCCAAATGGAATAAGCTCGAAATGCTGCCCTCGAAAATCTATATCCTTATCTAGAAACCGCTCTGGCAAGAACTTATCGGCATCTTGCCACACACTCGTGTCTCTGCCAATGGCCCACGCGTTGATCATGATTTGGGCGTTCTTCGGGATTATGTAGCCATTGAATTTTGTGTCCTCCGTCGCCCTCCGGGGCACCAGCAACGGCACCGTCGGATGGAGGCGGAAGGTTTCTTTGACGATTGATCGGAGGTATGGAAGTTGGGATATGTCCGATTCTTGGACGAGTTGGTCAAGGCTTAGAACAGTTCTCAGCTCATGTTTAGCCTTTTGCATCTTGTCGGGGTTTCGGATGAGCTCCGTCATAGCCCACTCCACTGTGCTCGATGTCGTGTCGGAACCCGCAACAAATAGATCCTGTAAAAGAGTTTGATGTGATGTTTTATGATAAAATATAATGTATCTTTATTCTAGTGGCAGCGTAAGTATACATAGTAAGAAAATAATATATATATATAAATATATAACCATGTTCCTTTTTATTTTGTCATATTTGATAAGTAATTTAATACTCTCTTCGTTTCCGGTAAAATTTTTATTTGACTTTTGCAAGTAAGTTAAGATAAATTAATACTTTCACGTCAAATTAATTTTAATTTTTTTTTAGTTCGTCTGATAAATTTATCCCATTATTAATTTTAGAAAAGTCAACAAATCAACATTTAATTATTACCCTCCATTCAACGCGTATTTACAACAAATACCATTAACTTTATTACATTATTTGTTTATTTACTTTAATTTCCAATCAAATTTTCAAAATACCTCTAATTACCTCTCATATTTTTAATAAAATATTAATTTCTTGTAATCTCGTATTGAACCCAAATGGGCTAATTTTAAAGAACGGATGGAGTATTTTATAAAAAAAGTAAAAAGTAACGGTAGTTTGGTATTTAGTTGAAAATTATATTTACTAAAAAAAAAAAGAAATAAAAAGTTCCGACTTAGACAAACTAAACTCGTAAAATTAAAAATTTACTATTGAAGGGATGGAGTATATATTTAGTTGAAATTAATTTAAAATACTTTCTCCTTTCATTTTATAAGTATTTTTTTACTTTTTACATGGAATTAATAAATATTAATTTTGTATGTAAAAATTATTTTATTTTACCTTGAGGATGTGTAAAATTATTATAAGAATATTGATGTAAATAAGTATGAGTCTTACTGTATTTGTAATATGTAGTGATATTTGTACTTATTATTAAAAAATAAATAAATACTCTCTCTTTGGATAACCAAAAATGAAAAAAAAAAATGTATGCTTATCAACTAAGACTGATAGAGTATATGTTAAAATTTGTTCGTGTGATTTTGAAGATTTTTTTAGTAATTTTCAAGAAAATTCGGCCATAAAAAATTAAAATCAAATACTTATTTATTATATTATAATAAAAATTTAGTTTACATTAAAATTTTGCATAAAATATTATTTATATCAAATTAAAAAATTAATTTTATTTTAAAATTTACTATTCAAAATAAAAGCTAAATTCAAATTCATAACTACCACACCCTTAAAGACTATCTCAATAAATAAATACGTATATTTTATTAATTATTAATATAAATTACATTTATAAAAATATATAAGTTGTCTTGTTTACGTGTTTATGAATTTTAATTGATTTTTCTGATTATTGCTGAATTTATAATATTTTTGTTTGTAAATTTTTTATTGTGGTTTTGATTTTTGAATAATAAAATATGTTTTTTTAATAAAATTTTCCTAAATTATATTATTTTAGCTATGTATTTGCTGAAAAAGAAATACATATTTTTCGTTCAAAAAATATCTCATTAAATATTACTCTAATACCAAATTCAAACAAATTTTTCTTAAACTCAATCAAAAGAAACACACCTTGAATTTAAATAATTCTTCATTTGATATAAATAGATATTACTATAATATTTTGAATGTAAATTTATTTTATAATATAATATAAAAAAATAAAAAATAATTATATGATTTAATATTTTGAAGAGAAAAAAAAATAGAATAGTAAAAATATTATAAAAAATCTAAAAATAAGAAAAGAAAAAATACAAGTTTTTAATATCTTTAAATATATTTAACCTGTATTTATTATTTTAAACATGTCTTTGTCATTATTCATCAAAGCTCATTTTTATTTAAATTATTAAATAAAAACCTTTTGACGGGGTTTGAAAAAATTATAATTTGAATTTAGTATTAAAATAATATATAATATAATATCTTGTGAATGAAAAAAATATACTTCCTCCGTCCCGCAAGAAAGTTGTCATGACTTTTTTGTATGTTGATCTTTGAATATTAATTATTATATCAATACACTCTTGAAATCAAGAGAAAAAAAAAACAAAAATACGTTTGTTAGTCTCTTATAACATAAATACAATGATTTTTTTGAGTAAATTATTCAAATATAAGAATATTTTTAATGTTAAGTACAATAAAGCAAAAACCAAATGACAACCTTCTTGCGGGGGACGGAAGGAGTATATGTTTTTTTTTTCAGAATTCAAATGTGTGTTTGTTTGGGGGATTGGATTAGATTACCACTATTCATCCCATTTTTTCCCCCAAAAAATATCAAATTAAACACCTATTTTTTATTTTTTATATTATACTAAAAATCAATTTTACATTCAAAACATCACATCAACACCTATTTATATCACATCATATAACTATTCAAATTTAAAATTTTTACTATTCAAATTCCAACTCAAAATCCAAGCCCCAATCAAACACTCCTCGAAATTTGAAAGTTATGCTATAAAGAAACACTAATATCTATTCAAAACTATGGCATTCAATATTTGTTTATATAAGTATTTATTTTATATTCAAATTTATTTTTATTATTATTATTATTATTATTTATCATTACAAAACTAATCAAAAATTTCAAACCTTATCAAACACACGTCAGTCGGGTTTAAGTTGAAAGTTGTATTATGAAAGATTTATTTAATTAATACAATATATATATACATATATTTTATACAATATATATATACATATATTTTAATACAATATATGCATGTATTGAAAAATTAATAATTTAATACAAAATATATATTTTTTCCTTTTTTATATAATAACATATACTTTCTCATACCTAATATAACACCTAAAACTAAAAAACCAAAGCTAATAGACCCAATATATATGAGATTAAAAGAAATTTTGAACTACCTATTGAAATATTAATATAAAAAAATATATTTTTTCTGTCCCAAAACAATAGAGACGTTTGGGATTGACACGAAAATTAAAGAATAATAATATTATATTTATAGTGGGTGTGAATGTATTTTTAAAAGACCAAAATACCTTTACTCTATTTAATTATTGTAAAAAAATGGAAATAATTTTGTAAAAAGATGGAGAGTTAGTTACTAAAAATAAAAATAAAACTATTGTTTTGAGACGGACGAAAATGGCAAAACAGAACTATTGTTTTGGAACGGAGGGACTATAATATAAATGATCTCATAAAAAAATAAGTGTTTGTTGGTTTTGGCTCAAATTTTTTATTTGAAATTTAGTTTAAATAATATTTGGATAAAATATTTTATAAAAAAAAAATATTCCATCCGTTTCAAAACAATAGTCTCATTTCTATTTCCGGTAATTAACTTTCCACAAATTTACAAAATTATTCCAATTTTTTTACAATAATTACATAATGTAAGGGTATTTTAGTTTATTAAGAAACACTTTTACACTAACTATTTATATAATATTATTGTTCTTTAATTTTCGTGTCAATCTCAAGTGTCCATATTGTTTTGGGACCGAGGGAGTATATTTTTATTTAAAACTGGATTGTATAGTTTTTATTTAAAATCAATAATAAGCATACTTTAAAATTTTATATAAAACAAATAAATTATATACTCCCTCCGCTTGCCGGTAAATTTTTTATTTGAATTTACACGTGAATTAAAGTAAATTAATATTTTATAAATATCTAGTGTAATAAAATAATATAATATCTATTTTACTTTTGAAAAGTAATATAAAAAAGTAAAAAGTATGAATATTTTAGTATTTAATTGAAGAATATTTTTTTTAAAAAAAATAAGAAGTTTTTATTTTAACAAAATAAAATGGCAAAAGAAAATTTATCAGTGAACAGAGAAAATATATAATTAACATAAATTAAATAAAAAAATAAGATTAATTTGTTTTTTTATTTCAAATAAAATATATATTCTCCAATCTACACCCTTTTTAATAGAAATTCGTTAATTCATCACACAAAATATTAATTAAAATATTATTTTTTAAAAAAATCAAATTACAATCTGAAAGTAAGTACAAACCAAAAATACCTTTGAAATTTTAATTACATACATATTTATTTATTGAACAAATAGGAAAAAAAAAAAGGCTTATGAATAAATCTCAAGTGAATGTAATATTTGAAAAAAGAATTAAAAATATAATATTAATTTAAATTCAAATGGTACCACATCTTTATTTATTTATTTATTTATTCGCAAGAGAGACAAATGTGATTATAAATATATACTTCATTCGTCTCATAAATATAGTTTTAATTGGGTTGGACACGAGATTTAAAAAGTATTAATATTATATTAGCGGGTAAAAAGTATGGATAAAAAATTTTTTTACCCTTGTGAGTGTATTAGTGTAAAAAGTAGTAGCAATTGTGTAATAAAAATGAAAAAAGTATAGGTAATTTTACGATGATATAGTTATTTATGGAAATAAGACTATTGTTTTAAGACAAACAAATATAATAAATAAGATTATTTTATTACGACGGATTGAGTATTATGATTTTGCCTTAAACATATTTAGAGATATTTTAAATAAAATATTAATATATTGCTAAAGTAGTACTAACAAAATTTGAAACGACAACAAAATACGACCAAAGTTGGTTTAATTTTGAAGTCTCTATTTAAACACAAAGTCACATCAGCCGCCCACACGAAAAGGACATAGCACCATTTGAGTCCCGACCTTGTTTTATAGTCCTCCGTCCCACATAATTTGTCTTTATTTTTTATTTTCATCCGTTTCTGTCTTTTTTATTTTTGGAAATATAATTATGCGTATTTTAAATTTTATAATTTTCTTAATTTTAATTAAACTATTTACTTATCTTAATCTTAATCTATAATTATTTTTACTAAATAATAATTATTTTTATTAATATACTTCTTAATTACTTACTAATTATACTTTACCTAAATTCTCGTATCTACAATAATAGTCTCATATTTTTTGGGACGGAGAGAGTATATAATTAACTAATTATATAAATATATAATACTTTTTTTAGTTTCACCTAAATTATTTATATTTTTTATTTTTATTCGTTTCATATATAATGTATTATTTTTTAAAAAAAATAATTATATATTATAATTTCATTGTAAATTTTATACTATTTTATAATTTCTTTAATATTAATTAAATTAATTAGTTATTTTAATTTTAATATATAATTATTTATAGGGAAAAATTATTTTTGGTCTCAATATAAAAATTTTATCAATTTTAGTCTCAATATAACCAAAATTCATCATTTTTTGTCCCAATATAATAAAACCTTATCTTTTTTTGTAACACCGTCAACAAAGCGACGGAAAATGCTGACGTGAAAAGAAATCAAACTTTATATTTATATTTGAAGAAATTGTATAATCTTGCAAGTCCACGTCAGAATTTTTCGTCGGTTTGTTGACGGTGGGACCAAAAAAGATAATGTTTGATTATATTATGACAAAAAATGATGAGTTTTGGTTATATTGAAACAAAAAATGATGAGTTTTGGTTATATTGGGACCAAAATTGATAAGAATTTTATAATTTTAGTTATATTGAGATTTTTTTCCTTATTTATAGTATACAATAATAATTTTTTTAATACATCTTTTAATTATTTACTAATTACAATTTTTTAATTTCTCATTATATACAATAAACAGGATAATTAAGGTGCAATAGATGGAGTATCAAGTATTATTCTCTTTTACACAAGTGTATTGATTTTACTATATTAGTTTATTTATCTCAAAATATATTTAATAAAAAAAAAAAATCAATCATTTTGATTTTCTACTTTATTAATTTTCATTTATTTGTACCGCTATTGATATATCTTACATATTTTTACATTCAATTTATTTTAATTCAAAAGTTAATTACTAACTTTTAAACGAGTACGTTGATTTTGATTTGAAAATAAAATTTTGATTTTAAATATTATTTTGATATAATAATTTATAGAATCCATCCATTCTTGATAAATTATTTATATTACCGTAGATACATAAATTTATATAAAATATAATTAATAAATAATTCATAAGTATATTAGTAAAAATAATTATATATTTATAGTAAAATAATAAAATAATTTAATTAAAATTTAAAAAATATAAAGTATATAATTATATTTAAAAAAATAAAAAAACAAATTATGTAGGACAAATAAAAAAATTTGAACATTTTATATTAGATGAAAGAAATACTATTATATTTTTAATATGTAAAAAGTGATATGAAATTAGAAAACAATCAAATCCTTAATCTTGTCTTAAAAAATACTAATATGAAAATATAATACTCTTCCCTTCCCTATAATTATATGTATATATATTTGTCCACACAATCTATTTATATTAAATAACTTTATTTATAGACAATTTTATTATTTTTACTTTAATTAATAATCAATTTATTACTATTTATTTATTTATCATATCATTATTTTATAATTATTTTAATAATTTCTTTTATAAAATATCTACTTTATTTTTTATCTATATATTTTTATATTAAAATATTATTATTTTTTAATTCATATCCAATAATATAGTATAATTAGTCCAAAGCTTATTATCATTATTATTACTCTATCTATCCAATTTAATTTGTTTGTTTACCTTAATTAGCCACAAACTTTTAGGTATTATATAATTAGTAAATAATTAATAAATATATCAGTAAAAATAATTATAATTTAATAAAAATACTTATAAATTAAAGATTAAGATTGCTGAATGGTTTAATTATAATAAAAATTTTATAAATGATGAATTTTAAAATATGATTAAAATGTATAACTATATTTAGATAAAAAAAAATGAAACGATAAATTATATATTAGACAAATTAAGTGGGTAGAAGTAAATATTATTTATTGTTATTATGTGTGGTGTGGTGGGATAGTATGCGATCTTACCAGAAGTAAATGCTTCACGTGTTCAAGAGTCAATCCAGATTGATCTTCACGGTAGAATTCCAGCAGTGCTTCCAGTATGTCATTCCACACCGTCCGATCGCCGGCCGATTTCATCTCCACCCTCCGATCAATAATCTCGTCGAACACGGCAAAGCATTTCTCAAAGTAAGCCGTGTTGCTCTTCAAAATCCCCTGCGGATCCACCGCCCGGAGGATCGGAAAAAAGTCCGACAAGTTAGGTTTTCCGATGAGCTCCATTATCCCGCTCACAATGTCGCGGAACTCGCCGGAGGAGTGCGACCCGATCTCCGCCGCGTCGGCGGAGAACAGCGACGCCCACATCAGGTTCAACGACGTCGTAAAGGCCGCTTTCCCGACGTCCACGGCCCGGCCCGACTCGCAGCACTGGTCCACGTGTCCGACCAGTTTCTTCAGCTTCTCCATCCTCACGCCGCCGCCGGCGTCCAGGCGCTGGCCGGAGAACATCTTGTCCTTGCAGAGCCTGCGGATGGTGCGCCACTGGTCGCCGACGGGCATCCAGGCGACGGAGTGGGTGTCGTGGCGGAGGGCTCGGATGGCGTCAGGGGTGGAGCGGTTGCAGAAGGCTTGGTCTTGCTTCTGGAGGACGGCCCTGGCGGATTCCGGCGAGGATATCACGACGGTGCTCCGGCTGCCGAGTTTAAGGAGCATGATGGGGCCGTGGATTTGGGCTAGCCGGGCCAGGGACTGGTGGGGCTTCCGGCCGAGTGAGAAAATGTTGCCGAAGATGGGAAGCGGGAGGGGCCCTGGCGGGAGCTTGAGCCCCGGACCTCGCTTGAGGGCGCGGCGAAACCATAGGGCGGCGGCGAGAGAGATGAAGACGAGTAGTGTGAAAATCAGGTCCATGATTTTTTGAGTACTCAAGTTTGATTGTTGCCCAATTTATATATATATATATATAGATACATATAGAGAGAATTAGGCGTACCAACTATTAGGATGTGTTTGTTCGGGGATTTTTTTCAAATTTTATTATTCATTCAATTTTTTTCCTTTTAAAAACATTCAATCAAATACCTGTTTTTATTTTTTATATTATATTAAAAATTAATTTTACATTCAAAACATCACATCAACACATATTTATATCACATTATACAATTATTGACATTCAAAATTTTTACTATTCAATTTCAATCCAAAATTCAACCCCCAAACAAAAACACCCTTAGAAAATTTTGCTACGTGTTCGATAATACTTCGCTTGTACGCCTGCCATTAACTATTTTGCATAATTCTATTTAGTATTAAAAATATTTTTATATTTATACAATTTTTTATACAAATATTATTATATTAATATTATAAGACATTAATAATTTTTATCATTTTTTTAAACCTATACTATGATTTAATATAATAATTAATATTAAAAATTTAATACACAAAAAATAAATATAAATATTGTAAATTGACGGAGATAGTATATTATTTTTTGGTCGCTATAATTACATTTTTCTTATATGCAATCTATTAAATTAAATATTTTTATTTTAATAAAAATAATTAATTTGTTATTAGTTTTTTTTTATATAATTTTTTTTTTTTTATCGATTCTTTAGTAAAATTTTAAAATATTCTATTTTATTTTTTTGCTTATTCCACTCATATATTAAACTATTATTACTTTTAATTTTTGTGTCCAAATAAAATAGCATAATTAATTATTAGAGACTAAAGAGAGTTTTTCTATCCAAATAAAACGACATAATTAATTAGGGCATCTCCAACCCAACGCCTTTAACGGCGCTGGGTTGGTATTTTTGGCGTGGGTTGTCTCCAACCCAAGCTAAATCCAACGTTCAACGCCAATTTTTGGGTTGCTATATATATTTTTTAATTTTTTTAATTTTTAAAATTTAATTTTTATTTTTTAAAATTTTTAAAATTTTATTTTAAATTATAAAAATAAAAATTTGTTTAAAATAATAGGAAAATTTGAATATTTGAAAAATAATAGTGAAAATTAGAGTTATGGTTGGAGTAAAATTATCGTAGCAACTGCACATTTTAAGTTAAAACTGAATAAATAGAGTAGATGGATTGGAGATGGCCTTAGTACTGAGCAACAGAGGAGTGTATAAAATAAGTATTTAAATATAAATATGAATGCATGATATAAATCAAATAAACCATTTTAATGCAAAATATTGTACTGGCATGAATTCAAAAAAAAAAAAACGCATTTTTTTATTTGAATTTAAATTTTATATTATTTACATATAAATAATTATCTAGATTGTATCATATGCAACATGTTTATTTATTTGAGAATACTATTACATAATAATAATAATAATAATAATAATAATAATAATAATAATAATAATAATAAACTATTCTTTATTTGAAGTATCATAATATATATATATATATATTTTAATTTTTAGTATGAAGAATAAGACAAAAAAATCTACTAATATTTGAATGGTTTTTTAACCTTATTTTTACATTAAAAAAAAGTATCCCATTCTAAGATTATTTTTTATTTAAAAAAATATTTCGATCATGATTTAAGAAATCACTATAATAATTTATTTCAACAATTATCTTAAAATTTATAATTCTATGACAATGTATTATTATTGTATATGTGTTTCAAAACACCGCCGACCCGAAGAATTGGTTCGAAATAAGTTACAAAAGCAAAAAATAGTACAAGCATATGGTTTATATCTAAACAAGTCAAAAGAATAATCCAAGATTATGCACTGTCTAAATATTAATTACGAAAAATAAAGACATAACAAGATGGTAATCTTAATATTTTGAGGGATAAATTAGCATAATTATATTATAAAAAGTATATCAACACTAAATAATTAAGTAAAATTTTGGGCTTTATAGGAGGTCTGCGAATCCTCAAGCCTTTCTTTAGATTTGTCACTACTTACATATAGATACAATTGCTATTGTCTTGTATTGTAGAAGCCTGCTCACCCTATTGATTTTGTAAGAAACCAAAATAAAGAGAGAAATATAATACTCCTTCCGTCCCAGAAGAGATGTCTTGTTGGGAGTTGGCACGAGAATTAAAAAATAATAGTATTTAATTGAAAATGTCTATAAAGTAAAATGTAAAAGACTAAAATACTTTCGTTTTTTTTAAAGATTTTAAAAAGTAGGTTAGAGTAATAATTAGGAGTTGTTTGAAAAAGTATGAATAATTTTGTTATAAAGTGGGGGACTACGATTATTAAATAAGGAAACAAGACAATTGTTTTGGAACGGACGAAAATAAAAAAAACAAGACAACTCTTTTGGGACGAAGGGTATAATCAACAAAACAAAATCATAAAAATATCTAAGATCAAACAATTGTTTATATATCCTAATACTTACATATACCAAGATGTGAAAATGACTACATAAAATGACTATTTTACCCCTCCTACTAAATTACCTTAGTTATACGTACCGGTAATATTGTTGGCAAGTATGGCTAAATTTGTCAATTTACCCCTATACTGAAGATATTGTGTATTGTTGAGGTTTGTGTTTTTTCAATTCCATTAGTTAATTTGTAGTGATTTAGTTGTAGAAAATATATTGATATGGATATCATTTTGTAGATCGTAAAATTTACTTTAATACAATAATTTAGTTATAATATTTTAAATCTATGATATATTAAAAATGCATTTGAAACTAATGCAGGGTTTTTGAATTTGATGGGCACGCAAAACAAAAAATTGCGGCCGACCGGACGGCTGTTGAATACATATATTTATATTATATTATATTATATTATTTATTTATTGAAATTTTTATGTGAGCCCGACTGGACGGTTCACCTACTTCTCATGCGACCAAATCAGCCGTCTACTCTTTCGACCGACCTCCATAGCAGCCGACCTCCGCAGCAACCGACTTCGATATCAGCCGACCTCTGCAGCAACCAACCTCGATATCAGCCGACCTCTGTATTAGCAGACCTCCGCAGCAACCGACTTCGCTATCAACTGACCTCATTTGGTCTGACCACAGTCCAACCGACTGCGGACCGTCCGACTTACCTATCCGACTGCGGACCATCTGACCTGCTTATCCGACCTACTAATCTGACTGAGAATCAACCGACGGCGAACCAACCGACTGGCTCGCCCAACCTCCGCAGCAACCGACCTCGATATCAGCCGATCTCTGTATCGGCAGACCTCCGCAGCAACCGACTTCACTATCAACTGACCTCATTTGGTCCGACCACAGTCCAACTGACTGCGGACCGCTCGACTTACCTATCCGACTGCAGACCATCCGACCTGCTTATCCGACGTACTAATCTGATTGAGAACCAACCGACGGCGAACCAACCGACTGTGGACCATCCGACTGGCTCGCCCAACCTCCTTTCGCCCGACCTCCCTGTCTGCCGTCTCGTCTTTCTTCCCCCCCACTTCCTTTCGCCCGACCTCCGTATCGCCGTCTCATCTTTCTTCCCCCGACCTCCTTTCGCCCGACCTCCGTGTCTGCCGTCTCCTCTTTCTTCGCCCAACTTCCTTTCGCCCGACTTCCGTGTCTGCCGTTTTATCATTCTTCCCCCAACTTCCTTTCGCCCAACCTCCGTGTCTGTTGTCTCATCTTTCTTCGTCCAACCTCCTTTTCACGGACCTTTTTATATGTGTGCAACCAACCAATTTAAAAAAATATATATTTTTCTTTGGATAGTTTTTTTTCTATTTTATTTAAAAATTATTTTCTACAAAATGATATATATATACTGAATTGGTCGGATGACAAAGAGGAGAACCGTCCAGTAGGTAGTCGGTTGGGATAAAAAGATGAGATAAATAAATATAATAAATTATATAAATATATATTTTTTTTATATTTTTGCTACCAACCAATTTAAAAAAATATATATTTTTATTTGGATATTTTTTTCCTATTTTATTAAAAAAATATTTTTTACAAAATGATATATACTGAATTGGTCGGCTGACAAAGAGGAAGATAACCGTCCAGTAAGTAGTCGATTGGGATAAAAAGATGAGAGAAATAAATATAATAAATCATATAAGTATATATTTTTTATATCTGTGCAACCAACCAATTTTAAAAAAAAAAATTCTTTTATTAAAAAATTATTTTCTACGAAATGATATATATACTGAATTGGTCGGATAACAAGAGGAGAACCGTCCAGTAGGTAGTCGGTTGGGACAAAAAGAGGAAAGAAATAAATATAATAAATTATATAAATATATATTTTTTATATCTGTGCAACCAACCAATTTTAAAAAAAAAATTCTTTGGATAATTTTTTTCTATTTTATTAAAAAATTATTTTCTACGAAATGATATATATACTGAATTAGTTGGATGACAAAGAGGAGAACTGTCTAGTAGGTAGTCGGTCCGGATAGAAAGATGAGAGAAAGAAATATAATAAATTATATAAATATATATTTTTTATATCTGTACAACCAACAAATTTTAAAATATATATATTTTTCTTTGGATAATTTTTTTCTATTTTATTAAAAAAATATTTTTTACAAAATGATATTGTTGATGTATTTTTTCAACAATAAATTTTATACTAAAAATAAATTATTAATAATTATATTTTTTATTTAAATTTTATACTAAAAATAAATTAAATTTATTGAAAATTATAAATATGATGAACTAATCGATAACTATCATAATAAATATATACACAAAAAATTTATTATTTTATATTTTACATCATTTTCAATAAAAAAAAACTATTTATATATTTTAATAAAAATATATTATTTTTAAAATCTAACTGTAGTAAAAATAAATACTTTTATAACACTTTTACAATTTTCAATAACTAATAACAAAAAAATTTAAACATTCTAAACTCAAAAAAACATAA